CCCCAAAACCCCAAAACCCCATAATTCAATAAAATAGTTAATATGATGAAATTTTTATTTTATAAAATTATTAAAGGAAAATAAGTATGAATGCTTTTAAAAGTCTTTTACTCCTGCTATTGATCGTATTAGAGACACAGCAAAGAATCAATTCTCAAAATGAATAAATTTAATAATATGAAGAGAATCCATAATAGAAAAAGAAAATCCTCATATATGGATTTCATATGGCAAGTCATCGGAATTTAAATATGGATTTAACTTGTTATCTAGCAGCTACTGGTCTCTATAACGTATCCTAGGTGCTTTTGATTGAAAGAGAAAAAGATATTGAAAGAATTAGATAATGCGGAGCAACACCCATAATATATTCTAGACCTTCAATGAAGAAGAAAAAATTTAATTACTCTTCCGAAATAACAGATTGGGCTTAGGGAGAAAGCTACCTAGAAAATGATTTAGTTTTGAATAAATAATGGCAAGCAAGATCAGTAAAAAATAAGTATGACTTGATTATCTCAGACTAAGAATTCTACTTTCCGATTATAACTTATTACTTAGGTGTAACTCATTACATAAGAATTTTTGCAGGACCTTATGATGCAGGGAATATAATGGATTATGGATACTAGAAATGCCATTCTTCTTATCATGTTATAAAAGAGACTTAAATGTATGCTAATGATCCAATACTTGATAATCTTGCTTTTGTCTAAAGATACCAAAATCTCTTAGAAATGTATAAGCGTAGATATAATTTGGACAATTTATATAAAAACAGAATTGAGTAAGTCTTAGTCGACTATTCTAACTTTGATTACTATAAGCATTAAAAGATGCCTGATATGTTAGTTTCACCAATTTAGGGTGTTTAGCCTTTAAGTCCTGCTAATGGATAATTTAGATTTATTTATCCTTCTCATAGACTATAAAATCATTCTTAAACTTATGATATGCATGCGAATTTGCAAGCTTTCATTGACTTTCATAAGTAAATTATTATTATTTCATTTGGAACACTTGTTTAGCCTGATGAGGAAACGATTAGGTAGTTAGAAAAGTTTATTTATGAGAGACCTGGTTATGGCTTCATTATCAAGTCCTATAGAAAGAATAAATCTCAAGATATAAGGCATCATAAAGTTTGGGTTTTAAGAGAGGGTTTGCCATAGAGATTTCTATTGAGTTAAACTTATGTAAAAGCATTTATAACTCATGGAGGTTGCTCAAGTATTTTAGAATCATTACAAAATGCTAAGCCGATGATAGTTTTACCTGTTACCTTTGATTAAATTATGAACTGCAAGCATGTTTAGGAATTAAATTTAGGTACATGCATCAAAACAAAAAATATTCGAAATGATCTTCATAAGGCAATAGAAAAAATTGAGAATGGATTGCATGAAAAAGACCTTCAAATATACTCAAACTTAATTGAATTTGAAACTAAATTCGGTGATACATTTCTTGATGTTATCAATGATATTTTTGAAGTTCCAATTAATGTTGAAAAACCCCCTATGTCCATTTACAGAAAAATGAACACTTTACAATATTTTGATGCAGATGTTTATTTAGCTATCTACCTTCTTCTTATCATAAGCTTTACAATAATGATAGCTTTTATGATGCACATTAAAAAAAAATTGATTTGATTTTCAATTCATAAAATCTTCATTAATGAATTTTTCATCCTAATGGGGTTTTGGGGTTTTGGGGTTTTGGGG